AATCATAAACTCTTACACAACATCGTGTATGAAAGTGTGGGAATTTCATTTCTTATCCTTTCTTTCTTTCGGCTCTTACATAAACGTGATGAAATACAAACTAAACACCATGCACTAGGTTGAATCAAATTTCGTTATTTCTTAAAGGCTTCAAAGTGCGCATCTGAGATAACAAGTATTCTAACTTCCGGTAACAGTGTAGCCAGAATATTACAGTTCAAACTTGTATAATAACGTTTCAATTCATGATACGTATTTTTAGCCGTAGCTTTATTGATTCTTCTGCTAAATGATTGACTATGTGTATAGGCTTTAACAACATGACACGGAGCATTTGTCTTACTGGCTAACATAAAATGGTTTCTAATCTTCTCAATTTTTTCCATATCGTCTGGCATAGAGGTCGTCGACATGGTGGTGAATCAAAATCATCCGTGGAACCATTAAATTATACCACATATTTGGGTTTAGTACAGCTATTGAGTTCGATGAAATGCTTAAGCCGAACTGATCCGACAGACGAAAACAGTCCACATCAGCATGATGAACATTTTTTTATTCTGATTCATCAAGGTAACAAGTGTTTTTCTTACAGTATAGGTTATCGACTGCGCTTTTTCTGCTGTAGTGTTTGAACTATGGTTTAAACAATTTCTCTTTGAAATTGATTCAATTCGAGCAATATTTGCCATTCCAGAATCAGTTAATCACAATATGTACGCTATCATATCTCGTTTACAACGTTGCACTACCATTTGGAGAATGCTAATCGATCAGTTGGAATTGTTAGAAACAATGACGCCTGGTGCCTTCTTAGAATTTCGTGATTACGTGACACCAGCCAGCGGTTTTCAAAGTCTTCAATTTCGTATTATTGAAAACAAACTGGGACTAACAGATAAGTCAAGAAGTGTCTACAAAATGAATCACTTCACTGATCAAATGTTCACACGTCGTGTACAAGCTGAAGAACTGAAAAAGTCAATGGAAGAAAAATCATTGCTCATGCTTCTTGAAGTATATTCCGTTTGCGAGCATCTAAATGTTGTTTGTGTGTAATTTAAAGAATGTCTGATTTAGAAATGGCTTGAAAACATCTACGATAGCATAACGTCGTTGGACTTTTTAAATGAATACAAACTGGGTGTTGAACGCTTTATCGATCATGAAGTGGAAGTAAGTCAAAAGTCTCCAAGAGTCTTTCAAGTATTATCGCGAATCAAAATACATCATGAACATTTGCAATTAAAAGTGCTGAGTGGAAAAGACATCTTTTTTAATAGGGAAAAAATCAAGCCATTGTAAGGTGTTTCGGAATGCTTCGAAATATCTCTCAGTATTTTAGGTTTTTTCGAATTTATTTTCAATTTATTTCCTGTTCTGTTCTTGTCAGAGCATATAGTACGCAGTGAGTGATATGTTGTAGTTACTCAATCGATATTTACTCACAATCGTTTCTTTATACCATAAAAATTCATGGTCAAATATTGCATCTCTGCTTTGAGGAGAACCTAAGGATTAGTGGTGGTGGTTTTTTTCTCAAAGACGCATGGAACGAGGAATTTGTTTTCTCGCTTTTCAGAAGGAAAAAAATTCTGCTAAAGATGAAAATAAGGCAGCCAGCTTAATACGTAAGAAATTTGACAAAATGATTAACAAAAATGCCTATGATGAACTATTGTCAAATAATCAACGACGCATGAGTCAGAAGGCAATGTTGGCTGCTCTTATGATATCGATCTATCATGAGGAACCGTGTTTTCACGAAGACTATCAATTGCTGTACCTGTTAATGGATATCGATTCACTGATAGCTTCTTGGCGTCGTATGTGTACCACATTGATCATTTATAAAACAAGTTTGAATACTGTCTTACCTTTAGAGAAACATGTTCTTCTCGTCCAACGTCAAATCGGTAGTAAACAAGGTACTGGTGGGACAGGTGGATTGATATATCTCAATACAACTCTTAGGTGAGCTAAATGAAATAAACAGTGTAAGAAGGTGGTAAATGAAACATGTTTATCTATGAAGGAAGAAGAACAAAAGCTTTCTTCTTTTGTAAAAGAGTAACACCATTAAAAAGTACTTTAAAGGTTTCAAAGTTATGTGTCAAGGTTAACTAAAAGAAAATGCACATGTACATACTTCCTTTTTTATAAAATCTCAGATTCACACATGCTGTACAAATCTGCTTCGTCTAAGCTTTCTCAATGAAATTTTGTTTTTATCACAAGGTCTTTTTTAACTTAGTGATTCATATCAAGTGTTCATTGATTTATTCAGTGTAACATCATTTCTGATTAAAAAGGAATATCTACCCAAATTCAAAAATAGTATGCCAATCATCCATCGTCCTGATCAATCGATGTCATCATTGGTTTTGGCACCGTATCAGAAACCCCCAACTCCGACACCACAATCACACCCAGCCCAGTCAAATATGGTTGATCATCTTTCGCCTACATTTACACTGACATTTACATTAGGCATTGTCCTATATGCAATACTCATACTTAACATGATGAAAAATGTTGGTTACGCATTATTTCATTGAATTCTGGCCAAATCACTTTTAACTCTCTATATTTAGTCATGATCAGAAGCGATCTCAAAATTGTTTCGTTCCATTCTCCCTTTTCTATTTTTTTCTGAAAAGATCTGATGCTATGTCTCATTCTGCTCATCCTCCTCATATGGTCTGATATTACTAATATTATTAACTATTTTTAAACACGAAGAAATTAGTCATGTTTCTATGTTCATTTGTTATCCAGCCTAGTCCGATCGTTCGGGAGTAACAGAAAGCTCTACAAGCTACAAAGCAGTTGTGAAGTTATCAGCGAAAATATCGAAGTTTGCTGTGGCATCTATAGTAGCCAGTTTATTCAAAATGCTGTGCCTAAACAAAGCAAATTGCATTTCGTGCAGTTATCGTTTTAGGTTGCTTTAAGGATACAAGACCCGTGGCTATTTTTTGAATAACTTTTGATAGGAATAGGGCTCGCTTTCCCCGAGCACGTGTCTATCTCCGAGCAGACATCATCTCTGGGAATCTCAAAATGCCACGGACTATAGGTAATCGACTACGCTGAGCATAGTGGCAACATTTGTTTTTATGTAGAAATGAATATAACTTCGCCAGATGCATTGTTGTGAAAAGCCGGTTTTTCGCCTGTTACCAGCAAAAATTAAAATCCTTATATCTCGATCAAATCTCATGCTGACTCAAGAAAATTTTCAAAAAACGCTCTGGGCCTCTGGACAGCTCATAGAACATAATCGAAGACGAAAAAGGTGAATGTGAGCTGGGCATTGGCTTAAGGTTTTCCAGAAACCTTCTGAAAGACCTCAAAGCATCAGTGTTCTGCTGGATTACTTTTTCGGCGTGGTCAACAATATATGGCACCTTTTAAGCCTTTTCTGAAAAGCGCTTTTTCCTATACCATCAGACAAATATATTCCTTTACACAATGACCAAGAGAACAATTATTATGGAACAACAAACAAATATGACTAGTAAACTACCTGATGCTTTATTATTTTTACCAATCATAAACAGTTTCTCATCCTGTTTTATTCACTTCAACAAATTACTGTTTTTAAAGTACAAGTCATTGAATGCACAATGTTTGATTTTATTCTTAATTAATAAGCTACTAGTATCTTATAAATAACAGGGCGTTAGCCATGTCACGGTCGAGTGACATGTGTATGCACTTTTGTCACCTCTCTTTCATTCTCACCTGCAGCAAGGAGAAAATAATAATCAAAAGAGAGAGTGAAAGCAACACACCAACATCGACTCTCTTATATCCACCCAGCTCTTGTTCTTGGCATTACAACTCTTATAAATGGGAATTAAGCAGCGATTTAGACGGCGCCTTCGATACAAGCCGATCTTGGTGATCAACTTAGTTTGTCTCTATGAGAAATTTTCTTCAATGTTTAAAATCTCTCGCTGACTATTCAATTCTTGAAAAGTGTTTTGTTTTTCAGCCTCAATGCACCATTTCATCGACTGACAATTTCCTAGAACTTCCGCAGATGGTCATTTATCGAATATTTTTGCTTCAGCTAGACCGTACGATGTTCTTCATATATGCAACGAT